GGGGCAGGTGCGCGGCGGGCGGTGAGGCGGCACCGCCATGGACACGTCGGGGCACTTCCACGATTCGGGCGTGGGGGATCTGGAGGAAGACCCCCGGTGCCCGTGCCCGTCGTCGGGGGACGAGCGGCCGCCGCCGCCGCCGCCGCCCGCCGCGCTGCCGCCGCTCCAGCACAGCCTGTTGCACTCCTCGCCCGGGTCGCTGCGGGCCCCTCCTCCCGCCGCCCCCGCCGCCCTCCACCCTTCCTCCCGCCACGGCAGCCAGCTCAACCTCAGCGACCACTTGGGCGGCCACTCGCCGGGCTCGGCGGTGCCGTCGGGGGGCAAACACCGGCAGCCCAGCCCCCTGGTGCACCGGCGGGACAGCAACCCCTTCACCGAGATCGCCATGAGCTCCTGCAAGTACAGCGGGGGGGTGATGAAGCCCCTCAGCCGGCTCAGTGCCTCCCGCAGGAACCTCATCGAGGCCGAACCCGAAGCTCAGCCCTTGCAGCTCTTCGGTGCCGGCGGACCCCCCGAAATCGTCGTTTCCAGGGAGGACAACCACGCGCCCCCCGCCCGGCCCCCCACCCGGCACGGCCCCCGCGCCGACCGCCCGCCCGCCCGCCCCGCACCCGCCGGCTTTGCCAAAGGGCCCAAACGCAAAGCTCAGAACATCGGGTACCGTTTGGGCCACCGGCGAGCGCTGTTCGAGAAGAGGAAGCGGCTGAGCGACTACGCGCTCATCTTCGGAATGTTCGGCATCGTCGTCATGGTCATCGAGACCGAGCTGTCCTGGGGGCTCTACTCCAAGGTATGGGGGGCGGTGGGGTCCTGGAAGGGGGGTGTTGGGGTAGCGGGGGATGTTTGGGTCTTGTGTGGTTGGCAGCAGGGGTGTTGGGGTCCTGTGGGGTGGGCGCTGGGGGTGGTGGGGTCCTCCAGGATGAACGTTGGGATCCTGTAGGGTGGGCGTTGGGGTTGTTGGGGTCCTATAAGATGAATATTGGGGATGTTGGGGTCCTGTAGGATGGGTGCTGGGTATGTTGGGGTCCTGTAGGGTGGGCGTTGGGGGTGTTGAGGTCCTATAAGATGAATGTTGGGGATGTTGGGGTCCTGTAGGATGAA